TTGGCTCCACGTGTGCCTTCTCCTGCCAGGTGGGGTTTGTGCTGATGGGTCCAGAGAGCCGTGAGTGTACAGCTCTGGGGACCTGGACTGGGGACCCCACACATTGCAAAGGTAAATCCTATGATTCACACGTCTGAGAGGGCTCTGTTGTAGCAGAGTGCCCTCCCCCACATCCTGGGCTATGTCAGTTTATCCCCTGGCTTGCCAGCCCACATGTCCGCATCTCACTGCCATCAGTCCTGTCATCTTGATGCTCCTGCTGTGCTTTATCTCCAGCCATCAGCTGCCCAGTGTTGTCCCCCCCCAGCAGAGGCCAACTCAGCTGCTCTCATGTGCACGGGAACTTCACCTACAACTCCACATGCACCTTTTCCTGTGAGGAGGGATATGTTCGGATGGGAGCAGAGATGCTCCGGTGTGAGGCCACGGGGAACTGGACCAGGGATCTCCCTGTCTGTGCAGGTACGGTGGGACCCCCCAGCTCTTCTAGCACTGCGGTGGTTCCAGCTTTCCTCCACATCTTGAATGTGGTGGAGGGGGATTCCCCAGGGGCTTTGAAGTGCCAAAGTGCTGACAACTTTCTAATGCATGGCTCTGTGGCTTTGTTTCAGAGGATGGTGCCTTCCTAAAGCAAGTCCTGGCTTACAGCAGTGGCTCAGCTCTGGCAGTAGCTGGTCTTGTGGTCTCTGGAGGGCTCATTGCCCTCCTTGCCAAGAGGCTCAGTGACAGAGGTACAGAAATGTTTCCTGCAGCCCACCCTAGCTTTGGCCAAGGGCTCTCAGGCAAGGTGGTGACAGTCCCAGAGGAGGCTATGGTGATCAGAAGCGTTTAACAGTGTGACTGCCTCCATTCACATGTTTTATTTGCTGAGTTGCTTGGGTCTTTGGCAATTGGTCCAGCTGAAAATGTCAGCAGCCAGGTTTGGAGGGCAGAGCCAGATAAACAACATTGCTCCAAAGGAGGCAGCAAATGCTTGTTAAGGCAGTGCCACCTCATGCCTGTTAAACTCTGCTCAATTTCAGATGCTGCTGCTGCAGCTTCTTGTGACCTTCACTAAACAGATCTGGTTATTTCTTTTCTATGTGCTTTATCCCCATGGACATTTCAATACTGTTATCAGAGGAGAAGAGGAAGCTTCTGAAACCCACCAGGTGAGAGCTATGCTCTGCAGGAAGGTGGCTCTGCTTTGTGACTGCCACAGCCCTGTGTTCACCCTGCTGACACCCAAATCTGCCTGTGGGAGGCTGTTTTTTTATTATAGCATCTCTGGGGCCAACAGGGCTGCGCTAACCCCAGGCCTTCACATACTCCTGAACTCCCCAAGGTGACACCCTTGTGTTTGCTTTCCAGTGACCTGGGAGCACCAGGAATCTTCACCAATGCAGCATATGATGCCAACCTGTGAGGTGAGGGCAGGCAGGACCCTCGCAGCACCCTATCCAAAACTCACCTGGGCGACCATCCTCCTGGCTGGGGTGCTCCAAGGTGGGGACCCCCCTTGTGACTGAAGTGGGTAACACCAGCTCTATCTCTCCTGTACTTCCAGCCTGCCCGAGACTGAAACCCACTGCGTCCCCCAGGGCTGCAGGCCCAGCTGCTGGAACTGCTGATGGAGCACAGACGGACTCCATGCCTGTGGGTGTAGCCTGGACCAGAGCTGCCCCTGGACACTGCCACCATGCTGCATGTGTAGCATTCCCCGGGAAGGGGAGCTGCCTCCAGTGCAGGCAGCTGGAGACCCACTAGGGGCCAAAAGCCACGTGCTGGGGGCAGCCTGCCAAGCAGCCCTTGGACATTCTCCCACCAGGAACTTGGATATTCCCCAGCAGCTGCTGCACTCATGCTTCCATCCATGAGCTTGTGTCAGCGGGGTTTGAATAAACACCTTTGTTTAACTAATGCCTCCTGTGTGCCTGGGGTGGTGGGGGGGAAGTTTTCATTAAATAATGTGGCCAACACACCGAGGGAAGTGATTCTTCCCCTGGACTTGGCACCGGTGATGCCACTTCTGGAGTGCTGTATCTGGTTCGGGGCCCCTGAGTTCAGGAATGACGTTGAAGTGCTGGAGCATGTCCAGGGAAAGACAACAAGGCCGGTGAAGGAGCTGGGCGCGTCTGATGAGGAGCGGCTGAGGGAACTGGGGTTGTTTAGCCCGGAGAAAAGGAGGCTCAGGGGTGACCTCATCACTGCCTGAAAGGAGATTGTAACCAGCTGGGGTTTGGCGAGTTCTCCCAGGTTAGTTTGGAGAGGATGAGAGGACACCTTGTCTTAAGGTCCAGCCAGGGGAGGTTCACGATGGACACTCACAGGTATTTCTACACAGAAGGGGTGACTGGACACTGGAATGGGCTGCCCTGGGAGGTGGTGGAGTCACCGGCCCTGGAGGTGTTTGAGGACTGGACACGGCCCTCGGTGCCATGTTCTGGGTGACAAGGTGGTGCTGGGCCACGGGCTGGACTCGCAGGTCTCAGAGCTCTTCTCCAAGCGAACTGAAGCTGCGGCTCCCTGCGGAGCGCGGCCGTCCTGCCTCCGCCCGCCGAGTGTCCGCCGGCGGCCGCCGTGGCGGGCGGGCCCTGCCCTGCCCTGCCCTGCCGGAAGCAGACGTGTGTTTCGGGAGGAACGGGAAGCGATGGCGGCGGCCGAGGCCGAGTGGGAGCCGGCGGGGCTGCTGCCCGCCCCGGGGGGCGGCCTGGACTGGGGTGAGCGAGGCTTCGGGGGGCCGGGGCCGGGCCGGCGCTGAGCCCCCGGCGGGGCCGGGCCGGCGCTGAGCCCGTGTTCTCTCCGCAGAGGCGGTGCTGGGTGAGGAGCTGAGCGAGCTGCTGGGCGCCGCGGCCCCGAAGGACGAGCCCGACGTGAGTGCGGGGGATGGCGGGGGCCGGATCCGCGCTCTGCCGGCGGCGAGAGCCCCGGCCCGCTCCGGGGGCCTGGAGCAGCCCGGCAGCAGAGCGTGGCCGCCTGGCTCGCAGCCCGCGTCAGCGCTAGAGATAGCGATGGCTGAAGCGCACTGCGGAGCACGGCCGCGGAGCCGAGGGTGCCACGCAGGGAGGCGCGGGTTAGGGTGAGGCTGCGAGGTGCCGGGGAGGAGGAGTGGCGTTGTCACTGCCCCGGTGAAGGTGAACCCCGCAGGGCAGTGCTGGGGGAGCGCTGGCTCAGGGCTACCTGAGAGAGAACGGTGGGTATTTTGCACCTATATCCACCATGGTTCTTCTTTATCCCTTTGCCTATTACATTACTTCTTGTTTTCTTCTTTAATGTAGGATTTTCTCAAAAAACTTTTGCTTGCAACCTTCTGCGTTAATCCCTGTCGTTTTCAGTGCCCAATTGTCCATACTGCTTTTTCTCTCCCGGGGCATTTACCTTGTGGATTCTCCTCTTCATGTTCTTTCCCTGCCGTGTCTCTGTACATTTTGTCCCAATCAACCTCCAGCACAAACCCGGGTTATCATCTAATGTAAACCCCAGGTTCTAAGAGCATTCCTGCATGTGTAGAGCCAGTCACTGGAGAAATTGTGGGAACAGACTGTACAAGGGGAAGGAATTCCCCATCAGCAGGTCAGCATTACTTGCCTGGCTGAAGGCTCTTAATGCACAGCTCATGTTGTGGTTTTTTGGTCATTCTTTCTTGAAATGTGCTCTGATGAGCTTTCTTTTCATTCTAACTTGTAAGTACCATTATCTGTGCAGTTTGCAGGCTTTTTGAGCCTCCCTTCACAAGACAAGTTGAGAGTATAAGGGAAGTTATAATTGCAGATTGGTTTTCAGGAAAATGTTGTATATTTGTATAAGCTGAGTAGGTCATGTTTATATTTTTCATGCAAGTGTTCATAAAGGGCCACATTTGTATAGGAAACTGAGACTTAAAATGCACAAGCAGAATAAATGGAGAAAACCCCCAATTGTTGTTTTAAAGGTCATAAATGATAAATAATATGTATGGAGTGATTTTAGCCTGTTTGTTTTGATTTTTGTTGCAAAAGGAAACTTTTGGTGTCCTTGGCTTTAGATGTTGACATCAGTGTATTCAAGTATAGGGAGACATACCGTTAATCAGGTCTCAGGCAAATCAATCTTGTGTCTGTTTTCCTGCTGGTAAACTGTCCCTGGTGCTGCTTTTGTTTGTAAAGTGCTTTGAGATGTAATGGTGGAAGAGCATTAAATAAATTTTTCAAGGCAGATGAAGGAGAGGATGGCACCAGGTTCCCAAGACTTGTGTTTTTTGTGAGATGGTTCAGTGAACTTAGAACTTTTGCTTTACAAATTACAAAGAAGAATACAATAATTAGTGATGATCTTAAACTAACCTGACCCTTCCTACTGGTATAAGTTTAAAAGATGTCTTGTTTTGTGTATTTCTGTTGAGAATTTCTCCTTTAAGGACTTTCATCTCCGTATACCTTAAGGCACCTGAAGTGATTGATAGTTACAGTTTTGTTTTCTGGAGCTATAAGAATGTGAACATAATGGCTGATGGTGTCAACACATCTTTCTTTTTGTCTTGTCTCTTTTTCTGAACTGTCGTTTCAGGAAAATGATCTCTATAACTTTCATTTTGATTTGGATTTGATGTCTTGGGACTCAGACCTCTGGAATATTACAGGCCATGCTTATGCAGGTAATTAACTTCCTATATTTTGCAGGTGTTGCTCTTCCCCTCCTGCCCCACAAGGGTGAGTTCTTAAAACTCCTGTGGAACTGTTTGATGCCCTACAGCCTTTTGCTCTGTGATGAGAATTAGGCTGTGTTTCTCTAGGATGGGTACAGCTGGCAAGGGTTGTTCTATGAGCCAAGGTGTTTTATACCTTTAATCTCCCTCTGTTTTCTGCTGTACTTTGCTTTGGGAATGAAATATCTGGTGTAGGACAGTGTGGTCTTTACTTTTCCCATTGCTAAAAACTTGTGCAGTGACATGTCTTTACCTGCCTCTTGCAGATGCAAACGTGAAGACAGAACCTTTATCACCAGCCACTTCCAGCTGTTCGGTCCCTTCACCACCATCTGTGGATTCTCCAGTGCAGAATGTGCCTGTATGCAAAACCCCCCATGTAACACAGACAGCAACAGCTCTAACAAACCAAAAGCCCTGTGATTTACTCCTCTGACCAAACTTATGCCATAAGAAGAAACAGCTTATTTTCCCAACCCTTGCAAAAACCTGTCAGTGGTGTTTTCTTATCTCTTCTCTGTGAGCCATTTGAATAAAAGCATGTTTAGCTCTCTTTCCTCAGCTATGTTCATTAGCCTTGTTGCCAAATAAAATGCCTTCTAAAGGCTTCTGGGTCTAGTAGGGTTGGCCTCTGCTTCCCATTGCTCTGCTGATGGGGAGAAGTACTTGTTGGTATGTTGGGTTTTTTTTTTTTAGTGGTGCCTGGCATTGGCTAGAATCAAATTGCAGAGTAAAACCTTTCTCTTGTTGTCTGCAGCAGCAACACCGATGTGATGAAAAGCAGATATACTCTGACCTGCTGGTACATACTGCTCTGAGTTTCTGAAGTGTTAATTTCCTGTGTTTTCTGTCTGCAGGATGATGTGGACTTCAGCTGTAGCTCCCAGATGTCTCCCATCTCTCTCTACAGCAAGAGCTGCAGAAGCCCTGCATCCCCTGAAGGAGATGGAGTGAAGAAGCCTGCTGTGAGCATCTCTTCTCGATCTGGTATGAGAGAAGGTTACTTTCATCCTATACATAATATGTGTGTTGTCTTGCATCCAAATTGATGCTATTGACTAACAGACACTAGATGTCCTATCATTTATGACTTGGATATTTGATGAGATGTGTTTATTTTTTAACAAATATTATAGATGGATAAAAACCCCACATTAAAAGCTACTTCATTATTGCTTGAATTATATATTTTATGCCTCTTGGTCCAATTCTGACTCTTTTTCTTTTTCTAGCAAATAATTCTGCAAGGAGCCTGAAGAAGTGTGGTCAGACAGTGTCCAGGCCTTTGATACAGCCCAAACCCCTTTTGCCTGCTGTGCCTGAAGCTCAGGCTAACATTGGTATCCCAGCTAAAACCATCATTATTCAGACTCTTCCCACGCTTGTGCCACTGCCAAAGAATCAGCCAGTTGTTAACATCCAGCCAGCACCTCCTAAAGGTAGGTGAATTGTCTTGACTGGGCCAGGTCTCGGTGGTAGCATTGTCTGTTTGGGATGGCTGATAGGATGAAGTTAGGCTTGGTATATGAAAGAGGAGGAATAGGAGAAAAAAGAGTTCTCCATGCATTGCTGGAAAAGCTTTAGGCTGCAAAGATGGCCTTACTCGTATCCTGTCCTGTGAGAAACAGCACTCACATGGGCATCGTGTAAAATGGAAGACTGGATTATAGAATTCCATTATTTGGAATGGAAGACAGAGGCTATGCTGAACATTGACAGCTGTGGAGATAAAACTACTGATT